CAAATAGAACCAACCCATCATTGATTTGAGATTTTGAGATATTGATAAGGTGAATACCTAGTCTATTCAATGCTAGGCATAATGAGTATAGGGACCTCAAAAAAATGATCTTTTCGTCCTATCTTATGAACTTTAAGGTGTATGAAGTTTCATATTTGATTCTTTAATTTAAGAAGGTCGATAGAGACTCCATTTAACTTAAGTTGATCCAGGCCAGAAGCAGACCTACGTCAGGATAACCCTTCTTTGAAACACTTTGGTAGTGCTCTTAGATTGGAATAAAAACAAAATCAGAGCACATGGAGCCATCTCCTTATCTTTCTCTTTCTGTTAAGAAAAAAGATGGTAGATTAACTGATCTTTCTATCAGTTAATGAAAAAGCCCAATGCAAAAAAGATGCACGTTGGGTCTGTAAAGCAATTCAAATCATTTTGATAATAATAAGTTTAATCTGTTTTACCGAGAAGGTCTACGGTTCGAGTCCGTATAGCCCTAATATTCCTACTAATACTACTAATGTTTCTATTTACTTATTTACTTTTTTTACTTTTACTATTTATATTTTATATTTTACTATTCTATATTATAGTATTAAATTCAATACTAAATAACTAAATATTAGTAGTAGTCTAAATTCTTTCTTATACTTACTTATACTTTCTTATACTTACTTATACTTTCTTATACTTACTTATAATATAATAATATAATATAATAATAATAAATAATATCTTAACTTAAATAGAATATATTAAATATTAATATTATTCTATTTATTATTAGTCTGTATGTTAGTATATTAGTATGTATGTAGTATACTGTGTATATAGTAGTATAAATTTTTTATACTATTTTAATGGATTTATAAATTTCATTTTTCTATTTCAATATTGATTATTTATTGAAATTCATAATATTGAAATTCATTAAATATTGAAATTCATTATCATTATAATAATAATAAATATTCCATTGGAAATGAAATAGAAAAATGAAATTTTTTTCTTATATAAAATATTAAAATGAAATTGAGAATTAACAAATAAAATAATTCACTTCTAAAAAAAAAAAAAAATAAAAAAATGAATAAAATAATGAAATTTGAATTTTAACTAGAAAAAAAAAAAAAATAATGAAATAAAATAATGAATATTAATTAGAAATTTGTATAAATATTAGTATAAATAAATAAAAATAGAAAAAGAATTCGAAAATAATTCAAATTCAAATTTGATTTTTTAATTATTATGAATATAAATAATAAATATGAATAATAAAAATAAATAAATGATAAAAAAAAGAGATTGGATTTCAATCTGGAATTACTTTTCTTTAGAGAGAATCCGAAGTCAGGCGAAAATGCGAGAGTTTTTTTTGTGTTTTCTTTGTACGTTATCCAAAAAATATATATATGGTTATATTTCTATCTTGAAATGAGATATGTACCACAGGAAACAAACGAAACTGAGCAGTTCGCTTAAAATTATAAACAGTTATGGCTGACTTGATAATTAATTCCAATTCGAATCGACTAATACTAATCTGGTAGATTTTCCACATTCATAGGAGTACATCTATGTTTTTGCTTTACGAATATGATATTTTTTGGGCATTTCTAATAATATCGAGTCTTATTCCTATTTTGGCATTTCTAATTTCTGGAATTTTAGCCCCGATTAATAAAGGGCCAGAGAAACTTTCTAGTTATGAATCGGGAATAGAACCAATGGGCGATGCTTGGTTACAGTTTAGAATCCGTTATTATATGTTTGCTCTAGTTTTTGTTGTTTTTGATGTTGAAACAGTTTTTCTTTATCCGTGGGCAATGAGTTTCGATGTATTGGGGGTATCCGTATTTATAGAAGCTTTAATTTTCGTGCTTATCCTAATTGTTGGTTTAATTTATGCATGGCGAAAAGGAGCACTAGAATGGTCTTAATTCTTGAATATTTAGACAATAAAAAAAAACATTGAGACAGTTATGAATTCCATTGAGTTTCCCTTACTTGATCGAACAACCCAAAATTCAGTTATTTCAACTACATTAAATGATCTTTCAAATTGGTCAAGACTATCCAGTTTATGGCCGCTTCTCTATGGTACCAGTTGTTGCTTCATTGAATTTGCTTCCTTAATAGGATCACGATTCGACTTTGATCGTTATGGACTGGTACCACGATCTAGTCCTAGACAAGCAGATCTAATTTTAACAGCAGGCACAGTAACAATGAAGATGGCTCCTTCTTTAGTGAGATTATATGAGCAAATGCCTGAACCAAAATATGTTATTGCTATGGGAGCTTGTACAATTACAGGGGGGATGTTCAGTACCGATTCTTATAGTACTGTTCGGGGCGTGGATAAGCTAATTCCTGTGGATGTCTATTTGCCGGGCTGTCCACCTAAACCGGAGGCCATTATAGATGCTATAACAAAACTTCGTAAGAAAATTTCTCGAGAAATCTACGAAGATCGAATTAGGTCTCAACAGGAGAATAGGTGTTTTACTACCAACCACAAGTTTCATGTGGGGCGGAGTACTCATACCGGCAATTATGATCAAGGATTACTCTATCAACCACCATCTACTTCAGAGATACCCTCTGAAACATTTTTCAAATACAAAAGGTCAGTATCCTCCCACGAAATGGTGAATTAGGCAGGATCCTTTTGTACAAAATAAGAAATTGCATTGTACAAAATAAGAACAAGACAATCTTCAAAAATTTCATCGTAATCGTAAATATTAAATACTTATACAAAACTTATACAAATAAAAATGTGGGAGAGATAAAAAAATGCAGGGTCGTTTGTCTGCTTGGCTAGTCAAACATGGGCTAGTTCATAGATCCTTGGGTTTCGATTACCAAGGAATAGAGACTTTACAAATAAAGCCCGAGGATTGGCATTCGATTGCTGTTATTTTATATGTATATGGTTACAATTATCTCCGTTTCCAATGTGCCTATGATGTAGCACCAGGAGGACTGTTAGCCAGTGTGTATCATCTTACGAGAATAGAATATGGTATAGATCAACCAGAAGAGGTATGCATAAAAGTATTTGTCTCAAGGAAAAATCCTAGAATTCCCTCTATTTTCTGGGTTTGGAAAAGTGCGGATTTTCAAGAAAGGGAATCTTATGATATGTTAGGAATCTCTTATGATAATCATCCACGTCTGAAACGTATCTTAATGCCCGAAAGTTGGATAGGATGGCCCTTGCGTAAAGATTATATCACTCCCAATTTTTATGAAATACAAGATGCTCATTAAATGATAAAAATAAGAAACTAATCCGCACCACTTCTACAACGCCAGATATTCCTTGAATAGCTGTACGTTCTTTTATAGATCAGACAAAGTAATTGAAGTTAAATCAGACAGAATAATTGAGGTCTTATTCATATTATTATGGATGGGTTAAATAAAAAATCTAGGGATTAAAAAAAAAATTCGAGTAGGGCTTCATTGAGATTTTAAAGTTGTTAAGATACTTATTTCGGATGAGCCGAGCCAATAGGATGAACTAAAAAAGTTCTGCATCATGAACTATGTCTCGCGCACATCAACATCGAAGGAAATGAATAAAATATGAAAGAAAATACAAAGAAATGAAATGAAAGAAGGGGTCGGATTCTATTTGTAATGTATCTGAGATTTCTTTTGGCTAGTTCTACCCCTCAATTTCCCTAGACTAGACTTTTTGGTTTTTCAACCAACTCGAATATTATTGAAGAAGTATTAACATTTGTGAGTCGAGAAAAAAAAAAAAGAAAAAAATGGAATAATTTATTTTTTTACATACTTTCTATATACATAGAACGTACATATATTCTTTATTCATCTAGAAAGAGTATATCTCCAGACACCTAGATGGATAAAAATGTATGATGATCTAGACTACTAAGAAATATGTATGTTGACCCATATTCATTTTAATGAATTTAATAGATACTCATACAAATTAATCATGTGCCAGGAACCAGATTTGAACTGGTGACACGAGGATTTTCAGTCCTCTGCTCTACCAGCTGAGCTATCCCGACCATTCGTGACGCATCATCCTCATTTTAAGAGATTACTTGAGTATATGTCAACTAAAAAAAAAAGACGAAAAAAAAAAATAGTTTGATCCAAGCCCTGTAATTTCTTGGATCTTCCAAAATAAGACTTTGTATGTTTCAGTCGGAGTAATGATATGTATTGTTAATCAGTCAAATGAGGATTCCTTGCTCAAAGATAAGATGCTCATTTGTACGTTTATCATATAGAAACCAAATTTTACGTCTATCATATATATTCCATTACATATTCCAACACTTGTGATAAGAAAAAGCAAAATTCCACTCAGATCCGTTTGTGAAAGAATAGAATGAATAAGAAACATAACGAATTTGGAACCACTAAAAAAAAAAGAGGATATAGGATAAATAATTAGAGAGTTAAACGGGCCTTTTGGGGATAGAGGGACTTGAACCCTCACGATTTCTAAAGTCGACGGATTTTCCTCTTACTATAAATTTCATTGTTGTCGGTATTGACATGTAGAATGGGACTCTATCTTTATTCTCGTCTGATTAATCTATTCTTCAAAAGATCTATCAGACTATCATGGAGTGAATGATTTGATCAATTCATATTCGATTCTTTCTTCAACTTGGAATCGATTCACATCTTTTATTTGTCATATAAATATTAAAAAATAGAGATTTTGGGTCTGTCTGGTCTAATCAATTGAAATAGTATTTCAGTACGTATACGTATGCTCATCCTTGATCCTTTCTTTTCTGGAGTTTCGATGGAAGGATCTCTTTACTAACCAAACGAAATCTTTACTAACGAAACGAAATGTCGTCAACTCCATTTGTTAGAACAGCTTCCGTTGAGTCTCTGCACCTATCCTTTTTTTATTCTCCCTTTCTGAACTCTTCTTGGTTTTCCGAAAACAGGATTTGGCTCAGGATTGCCCATTGTTAATTCCAGGGTTTCTCTGAATTTGAAAGTTATCACTTGGTAGGTTTCCATACCAAGGCTCAATCCAATTAAGTCCGTAGCGTCTACCAATTTCGCCATATCCCCCCCCTTTTTTCTTTGAGATTAGAATCTCATTAGGATGTTTTTTCTTTTCATTTAAATTATGAGAATTATGCCGGAACTGTTGAATTCGTTAGATACCGATTCCTATACCGAAAAATGTTTCTTTCTATTTGTATTTCAGATACCCATATTTTGTCCAATCAGAAATAATTCTATCATTTCTGTATTCGCAATTCAATATACATGGATATATACCACATATATATATTTTAGATGCCTCTCCTTCTAGCGTTTTTCTCATGCAATTTGGAATACTCGAACGGTCGATTCTTTTTTTTCGTCTTAGTTTTAACCTTTCCGAAGGAATGTTTCATTATGATCGGAATTGAGCCTTTACCTTTCTTTCATTTGTTTTTATTCTTATCTTTTTTTCTTAGAACGGATAGGTCCTATATAACATAACTAAAGATAACTAAAATGGATGGAAATCTCTTATTTTTTTAGATTAAATAAAAAAGAAATCTATTTCTATTTATTAATTTAGAATAGCTAGTTAGAATAGCTAGACCTAATGTAATGGCTATAAATAATCATTCTATTAATTTCATAATTTCAAATTAATTTAGAAAAGAATTCGAGTTATTTCTATTCTATATTATTATTATTTATTTATATATTTATATTAATTAAAAGAATATTCAATATATTTAAATATATTCATTTGCTAATTTTAGATTCATATTATTTATTACTATTATTACTATATATATAATATATTTTAACTATATCTATATTTATATATTTAGATTTAGAATTTTAAATTTGATATTAATTATAGAAATTCTAATTAAATTAAATATGAAATTAATTTCAATTAAATATGAAATTAATATAATTAAATATTTAAATATTAATTAAACTTTTAAACTATAAACTTATAAACTAATTATTAATTATTATTAATTAAAATAACAAAATTTGAATTCAAATTCAAAAATGAAAAAAGAAAATCTTACTATACTCTATACTAATTAAGACTCTATACTAATTAAGATAAAGATATTAAGATAAAGATATTGATCATTAATAAACATATAATTGATTGTTGAAAAACATAATATATTTACTAAATAGATTGAAATATATTCTATTAATCCTTATCTTCAAATTGTTATGTTCTTTATGTCCTAGAATATAAAAAAAATGGAATATTTATTTGAAATTCTATATTCTTTTGTATATTCATAGGAATTATGTTATATTCATATTCATTATGTTATCAATATTCTCTTCTATATTCAATTCATAGGAATTATGTTATCAATAGCTAAGAATAAAATAGCTAAGAATAAAGAGTTAATAACTAAGATCTCAGTAGTTTATTAAATTCCTATGCATGCACAATTTCTGTTATGTGAGCCCGCTTAGCTCAGAGGTTAGAGCGTCGCATTTGTAATGCGATGGTCATCGGTTCGATTCCGATAGCCGGCTTTTCTCTATTTGTTTTGATTTTTTATATAATTAAGAATGTCTTTTTGAAATCAAAGAATATTGAAAAGGCTTTTTCCCCTTTCTTTTTTCAAGAGTCACCGATCGATTATGTCGTAGGAACTTCCAATTATGAATTCCAATTGGGGGAGTTCGATTTCTGTAGAACAAATCAAGAAAAGAACCTCCTTTTTTTGGTTTATATATACAATTTTATATATACAATAAGGTTCGGATATTGATATAATTCATCTAATTCAATTCTTCTTTGTAGTACAATACTTTAGTCGATTTCGCTTCATTTATCATATTTCTCATTTAGTTTAGTTTGAATTTAGGTTTATGAAATTTTAAAAAGGAGTCTTTATGTCGCGTTACAGAGGGCCTCGTTTCAAAAAAATACGCCGTCTGGGGGCTTTACCAGGACTAACTAGCAAAAGGCCTATAGTCGGAAGCGAACTTAGAAACCAAGCGCGCTTGGGTAAAAAATCTCAATATCGTATTCGTTTAGAAGAAAAACAAAAATTGCGTTTTCATTATGGTCTTACAGAACGACAATTGCTTAAATACGTTGGTATCGCCAGAAAAGCGAAAGGGTCAACCGGTCAGGTTTTACTACAATTACTCGAAATGCGTTTGGATAACATACTTTTCCGATTGGGTATGGCTTCGACTATTCCTCAAGCTCGCCAATTAGTTAACCATAGACATGTTTTAGTTAATGGTCATATAGTAGATATACCAAGTTATCGCTGCAAACCCCAAGATATTATTACAGCGAGGGATGAACAAAAGTCTAGAACTCTGATTCAAAATTATCTTGATTCATCCCCCCGTGAGGAATTGCCAAAACATTTGACTCTTCACCCATTCCAATATAAAGGATTAGTCAATCAAATAATAGATAGTAAATGGGTTGGTTTGAAAATAAATGAATTGCTGGTTGTAGAATATTATTCTCGTCAGACTTAAACCTAACTAAAATAACAAGCGATTTTTACTCCCTTCGCGTCTAAGTAAGGGGACCAACAAAAAAAAGGGGTAAGGTGTTTGATCCGGGGATTTTCCCTCCCATTCATCTATCATAGACATAGATCGGGTAGGAAGATTTTCATTCCTTTTCCTTGCCCCCTCTTTCCAGTATTTTCAGTATTCCAGAGATTAGGAATAGAGAATCCACATCAAAGAAAGTTGGAATAATGATACCTTTTGTTATTTGAAACATTGCGGTCAATAATATTGATGAATTAGGTAAAGATGCGTCCGGAAAGAGAGGGATTCGAACCCTCGGTAAACAAAAAGCCTACATAGCAGTTCCAATGCTACGCCTTGAACCACTCGGCCATCTCTCCTACATAATGATTATGTCCCAGAAACCGAGTGAATAGTGAGTCATTCATATTCTATTTTTTTGGATAGCCACATACAATCAAATTGAACTAGAAAAATAGAAAAACTTAAAAAAAACCTTCATAAACAATTTTTTTTAATGAGTCCTTTTTACGTTATTTCGTACTGTATTGTACAATTCCTTTGTTTGTGGGATTATTTTCTCACGAGAGATAATTAAATTCTAGAATGGATTGCTACCTATGCCTAGATCTCGGATAAATGGAAATTTTATTGATAAGACCTTTTCAATTGTAGCCAATATCTTATTACGAATAATTCCGACAACTTCAGGAGAAAAGGAGGCATTCACCTATTACAGAGATGGTGCGATTTGATTCTTTTTTCCTTTTTTTTTGCTCTCAGTCTTAGGAGAAAGACACATTCTTCGGATAGAAAGAAAAAATGGAAAAAAACCTACGCTTGCTGAAGGTGAAGTTTGTGGAAATAAAATAATTAATTCCTTCTGTCGTGTATCCCCGATTAATGCAGCCTCATATGCTTGAATTTTGGATTTATAGTATTAAGCGAAAGGTTATACCTATACGTATGGGTTAGGTCAACTCTACTCCACTAGTACCAATGGGCGGCATGGGGGAAGAAGCACTACGTTTAGGAATCAACAACACGAAAACTTTGTTAAAAAAAGAATATCCCCCCCCCCTTCCTTATCGGGATCGGGACTAAGAAGAATGGTTGGGACAACAAACATCCATCTCGTTCGTATTTTGGATACCCGTATAACCATCGAAGACTGTTGAAGTGACTAATTCCAGGAAATTAAGCGGCGTTGAGGACAAAGAAATTGTTGGAGTTACCATCTTTTTTATCCAGTACCAACATACTTGATGTTAAGAAAAGATCTTTTACAGGAAGGTTGGCTAGAGATTTATTGTAAAAACACTAGCCCTGCTCAGTTCATAATGAGAATACTGCAATCTTTTTTTTATTCTATGTATTTTTATCATTATGCACATAAAGGAGGAGCCGTATGAGATGAAAATCTCACGTACGGTTCTGGAACGGAGATTCTTTGAACCGAATGACGACCGTAACGGATGTCGGCTCAATCCGAAGGAAATTATGCGGAAGCTTTACAGAATTATTATGAAGCTATGCGATTGGAAATTGATCCCTATGATCGAAGTTATATACTTTATAACATAGGCCTTATCCACACAAGTAACGGAGAACATACGAAAGCTTTGGAATATTATTTTCGGGCACTAGAACGAAACCCGTTCTTACCACAAGCTTTTAATAATATGGCCGTGATCTGTCATTACGTGCGACTATCTCCACTATAGAAAGAAAAAAGAAAAGAAAGAGCAAATCCGCTAATAAATACTAGAAAAAAAAAAAGGATTTCTACATATATATCGTCCAAAACAACGATTTTTATCAGCTGTAGCAAAGAAAGAAACTTCATAGAAGTTGAAATATGAAGAAATAGATATGCCTAGATACTTTTTTTTCTATGGATAAAAGATCTAATTGATAGAGAAAGCACCGTAAAGATCAATTAGCGAGGTTTTGGGCCAATACAAGAAGAACTGCTTACTTATATCATGATAGAAAAGTTAGGAATCCACTTATGTAATAGAGTTGATCCCCTAAAGTTTTGAGCAGCGGTGTAGTATCAGATCCCAAAGATAGTAAGTCTTTTCTTTTTTATGAAGAAAAGAAAAGTCTTTTTCACGGATTCTATAGAAATTTATATATCATATATGAAAGTATATGATATAGGAAATCGAGATAGTTACCTTTCAGAAAATTATAATGAGAGTGTAAATGCCGATGCTTTATTCTTCTGAAGGTAGGAGAAAAGATAAAACTATAAAGCGGATTCCTTTTTTTATTAATCCAAATTCAAGTTTGAAACTCATGTAATTATACTCTTTTTTTTTGTTAAATAGATCTAATAAAAAAAATGGGGCACGAAAAGAATTGACTGCTGAGCCGTATGAGGCAGGAAACTCTCAAGTACGGTTCTAAGGGAAGGGAATTTACTCACCTATTCCGACCGCGGAGAACAGGCCATTCGACAGGGAGATTCGGAAATTGCGGAGGCTTGGTTTGATCA